TATCAATTTTATTACCTTACTTGAAGTTTATTTGTATCTTAATTGATTTCTTATCTAAATCCAGATTTTTTCAAATACTTTTTAAGTTTTCCAATAAAAACTGACAATCATCACTATTTTCAATGTATCTAAATATTTCTTCTATCAAATCATTCATAGATTTTTTGGTTCTTGTTTTTTTGTTGTTTTTTTTTTGTCATTTTTTTGGAAAAAAAATTCTTTTTCTTTTGACATGTTTAAAGGTTATTGTTTTATTGTTTAAATGTTTAAGTTAACACGGTTATAGCAGTCCTGTATAAAAAATTATTAGTTAATTTTATCTTCCTCTATTCAATTTTTATTGACACAATTAACACTTTTTATCTAAATTTAATATTTTTAACTACATTTACTTTATTTTATTAAATATTTGATATATAAATATATATATATACATATATATATATATATATATATATATATATATATATATATATATATATATATATATATATATATATATATATATATATATATATATATATATATATATATACATATACACACACACATATATATATATAAATATATATATATATATATATATATACATATATATATATATATACATATATATATATATATATATATATATATATATATATATATATATATATATATATTATATATATATATATATATATATATATATATATATATATATATATATATATTCATAAATATATATATATATATATATATATATATATATATATATATATATATATATATTGTAAAAAAAAAAAATTTAAGTTTTTAAACTTTTTCTGGTCTGGTTTATTAACGCGCTCTTTAAAACTACAGTTTATGGGAAACTCTTTTCAACTACCATGCAAGAGTATATATATATATATATATATATATATATATATATATATATATATATATATATATATATATATATATATATATATATATATACATATATATATATATATATATATATATATATATATATATATATAAATATATATATATATATATATATATATGTATATATATATATATATATATATATATATATATATATATAATATATATATATATATATATATATATATATATATATGTGTGTATGTATAAATACTATTTTCAAGTTTGAAAATACTATTTAAAATAATAAAGAAAGAAATATTTTAAAATAATAAAGTAAAGCCTGAAGTAAACAAAGAAATTATGTTTGATTTGGCTAATTACCAATGAAAGGGTGGCATATTTTCAAAACCCTTTATTTAGACTGCAGTTGGAATAACTCATAATTGGTGGAAAGGGTTGTGTTCCTTTACTGAACTATCAAAAGTTGCATCTAGAATTCTTCAGCTACCAGATTCAAGTGCTAGTAAATTAGTATTTTGTATAAAACATTATCTAACATCAACCTTAAAAATAATTGTGAAAAATGTCTACTATATCACATAGATCCATTTTTATCAATATAATAAAGTAAAGATGTGAAGGGTTCAATTTAGCTTATTATGCAATTAATAGATTTTCAAAATGATAAAAAATGATTTAAAAACTTTACTTTTTAAAAAATTTTTAAATCTTTGAAAAAATTAATTTTTAAATATTTATCAATTATTTAATTAAATGTTATTAAATATTCTTAAATTTTTTATGTGATTTAAATATATAAAGATATCTAAAAAAGATCTCTAAAAAAAGAAAATGTCATTAGACTAATTAAAGTTTTGTTTTTTTAAATTAAAAGTCCAAGCGTAATCACGTAAAAAGGTATTTAAAAAAGTGATTTCAAAGCATGAAAATTATTTTAAATGATAAAAGAATATAAATTTTTTAATTAAATTATTTTAACAGAATTACATTATTTTAAAAACTGCAATTTAACATGTCTTGCTTATAGGGAATGCCCAGAGGAGTTTTATCGACTCAATATTACTATTGAGTCAATAAAAATTTTGTCAGTAAAACTTACATGACAAAAACTCCTGAAAAAAACTATGCTTCACAGATAAGATTTTAAAACGCATAGATTTCAAAATGCATGCAGTGCCTCCCTAACTTTAGTAAACTATTCATAGAAATTACAAATAAATTGCTAATGATGCAAATTGCAAATTAATTACTTTAGATGCAAATTGCAAATTAAATTAAAAATTCAAAAACTTAAAGAAATGATTTCAAACTTAATATAGTATAAAGTCTAACTTATTAAACATTTCTGTTAGTGGGCAAATAATCAAGCCTTCCCGGAAATTAAAATGTATTTAAATTTATAAAAACTTATAATTTACGTAATATGTGCTTTTTGTTTTTTTTTCTTTAGAGTGGTTGTTAATTTCAGCACAAAATTATGTAAGGCAAAACAAAAAGGATACCCACCCTTTGCTTATTTGGACAAAACGTTTACTTCATGCACAGAATATCCATGGTTTAAATCTAAACACTTATATTTAAAATGTAATAATGATAAATTTCAAATGAAGGGGAAAAGTTTAGAAGTTATGAAACTAATGGATAATTTCTTAAAATATAAAAAAATCAATTGATAGTTATTATTGTTGTACAATTTTTTTATCAAAATAATAATGTGAAAAAAAAGTGTGTTGAAAATTATTTTTAAAATGCAAAAAATGAACTTAGTTAAATAAATGCTAAGATAATCATTATAAATACTTTATTGAAATTATTACTAATATATTAAGTTTTGTTTAAAATAAAAACTTGTTTAAAATGACTTTTAAATTTAAAAAATTAAAAATTTTTAAAGTATTTAATTTCTGTTCTAAAGAAAATATGCGCGCTACTTTAAAACAACAAAAGTTATACTAGAGATAATAAAGAGTATTTCTTTTGTTGTTTAAAACTAATTTCATACTCTGAAACACTTTTTGTAGTAATAACTTTTACAGCATGGAAATCTGAAATTTTGATTCAAAAAATATATTGGGTCTTATTCCAAATTACACATGTCTTTGAAAACAATACTACAAATACTGGAACTCTTAAAGGTGTACATGAATGAAGATCACATCATCAAGAAAATTTTTTGCATATGTTAAAAAAAAATTTGTTTGTTTACATTACTATGTAAACAGTACTATGTTACTGTATGTTTACATTTTCATGTAAATATGTATTATAATTCAAAGTCTGAAAAAATAAAAAAATAAATATAAAATAAACTTGGAAAATAAAACTATAAAAATAACATATATTTTATAATTTTTTTTTTTTGAAAAGCTATTTATCTTAATCTTACTTTACTACTTTACAGGGTTGCAAAAAAAACGTTTTTTTTTAAAAAAAAAAAAAAAAAAAAAACCATAGGTTTTTTTTTTAAAAAAACAAAAAAAAACATAGTTTTTTGGTTTAAATTAGGTTTTTACTAAAAAATGCGGTATTTAGTTATCCTTTTAAATTAAAAAAAGCATAACACATTTCATTTGAGTAAACTATATTTGTTATCAATATTATTGTTATATTTCATCAAAACTATTTAATATATCACTGTTTGATGTTCTATATATAAATACAAGCTTTGCTGCTTTTTCTACCCCCAATCGGTTTCTTAACTAAGAATGAACAAGACCAAAAGTTGAAAAAATTATTTTGATTTCAGCACTAGAAGCTGGTGCATTTAATAAACCTTCAATTTCCATTATGTTATGGTAGATTTGGCTTTTAATTTGAATAATAACAAATTCTTGAACTCTTTAACTGCGAAATTCATGGCAGCTTCTGGCAGCAAAATATCTAGGATCTAGTGTGTTTGCTAGAGCATTACTGACAGTCTGAAGGTATCTAGATTTAATTTTTTTTTTTTGTTTGTTTGATAAAAATGATAAACTGTTCATCAAATCTTTAAAAATTTCAAGAGTCACTTATTTTTATTTGATCTCTTTGTAACTTATCTGGAGCTACTGCAATTGGTTTCAATATTTTCAATAAATCTTATGTGTTTCGCTTTATCTGTAAGTATTTATTTTTTTCAAACATTGTAAAAATAATGCTCCAGTTGTTGACATATTTTTCAAGTGAATCACATACAGAATTCCGGCGAGTTTCAGTAGGAAGTAGCAATTTTGTTCCTTTGCTTAATTTATAAATTGCTCCAGCTTGATGATTATTTCTTATATATTTTATTATTTTTGTAACATGCTTGCTCAAATTTTCAATGTTAAGATCATTTGCAAAAAGATTCAGCATATGAGCAGCACATCCATAAGTTATGATAATATCTCTTTCAGATGATAATACTTGTCTCATTGATTTCATATTAGCTGCATTGTCAGTCACCAAGCTTTTTACTGTGCATTCTTACAAAATCTATAGCTTCTCTTGCTAATTGTGTAAGATATTCACCAGTATGTGAATGACTAGAAGTGTTGATTGTTTCTACTAAAATACTAATTTTATCTGTAATTACAGAGATACAAACTATAGATTCATTATGAAAATTATTGCAGCCATCTAAAGACATGGCTACAATTTTCCCATTCAATACATTACATTTTTCAATTTCTTCTGTGTAAACCCTATCTATTTTTTCTCCTCCAATTTCAGTTCTATTAGGTAGAGTGTATCCTGGATGAAGCATATTGATAACTTTTTAAAAAAAACAAAAACAAAAATCATGGATTTAAAAATATAGATATTGAAGATTAGTTATATTTGTGAGCATAACCCTGTCTTAGTTTCCTGTTTTAAGTTCAAATCTTTTAAAAAAAACATTAGTTTAGTTTAAAGTAACATTTTTTTATTTTTTTCAACCATGGTTTAAACCAATGGTTTAAACCATTTGGTTAAAACCATGCAACCCTGCTACTTATATTACTATCTTATATTACGCATTATCAAAGTTTCAAATTTAAAAATAACAAAACATGCAAAGACAATGTCCAAGTTATCAAAGCAAAACATTATATATGTGGTCAGGCAAAGCGTGCATCTGCATGCACCTCCTGTAAAAAAAAAAATATAATAAATATAATACTCACTAGAAAAATGATTTGCCAAGTCATTCCTTCCAATTTTATTAAGTACCTCAACAAAATCATCATAGTTATCAATCCCTAGAAGCATACGATGTTCTAAAGTTTGAATTAATTCAATAGGAGTTTTAATTCTTTCAAGATGACCATGGCCAATTTGATGTGAATAATAAAATTTAATTGCTTCAACATCTTTACCCAACAGATTATCTGCAATCTTCAGCAAAATATCTTTATGTTTCTTATTATCCATTTTTTCAAAATACTAATCTAAAATTTTACCCAACATTTTATATATTTTCACATAACAATATATAATAATACTATTAACATAATTATTCATAATTATATAATAATACTATTAACAACAATATATATAAATAAAAAAAATAACAAAAAAATAAAATAAAAATAACTCAACTAAAACTAAACGTTTTTATAATTTAATATTTTCCAAAACTCTTTCTAAAAAAAGTAACAACTTACATCTAACGATTGTTTAACAAATACGCACATTCAAAAGTTAAAAAAAAAGTTCTTAGCAACACTTTACAGTAACATAAACCAAAAGAAAAAATAATTAAACCATTTATTTAAAAAGTAATAAATTTATTTTTTTATTTAAAGACATACACACAAAAAAGTATTTAAATTATTTTATAAAAAAAATACACACACAAAATCTTAACTTAACTATAAAGAAGCTTAAAAGAAACTTATCGTAGAAAAAGCAAAAAAATCTTCGTAAAAAAAAATAACCAAAAATTTATATTAATATATATTATATAAATATAAAAAAATATATTATTATTCATTAATATTTTATTATTCATTATAATATTAAATGTACCTCAATAATATAAAAACTTATATAAAGGTCAAAGTCATTTAATTCAAACAGGTTTCAAAAAGTTTGTCTTTTTCTTCTCAATAAAATCTTTCTACTTTTTGAGTTAATTAACTTTCATGATTCTTATATAAAGTTTTTATAAGAGACCGCTGTTTTAAGTCACTGCTTATAAAATTTAATTTTTTTTTAATAGTTTTTACTTTTTAAAATTTACTTATAAAAAAATATAATTAAATAATATAATTAAGAAATTATACATTTTTCAATGATACATTAATTAAAATCATTAGTTACTTTATTTAAAAGTGTTTTGCTAATATAAAAATGTAAGTAAAGATAAACGTGCATAATTTACAATAGATAATGAACATAACGATTGCACTGTTTAAGAAAGTATATTTAAAAACTTAAAAAAAGGCTCCTAAAAATTTCGTTAAGAAAGCACAGTAAATTAACAATGCACTAGTCCAAAAAAATTTGCATAACAAAAAATTTTGCTTGGCTTGCATTAAGCAGCTCATTTTTTTTAAACAGCTGTTACAATTTCAATAGGATTTAATATGTTCTAAAAGTTATACTATGGTGAGAAATAAATCAAAAGCTCATTTTCGACAAAGGGAGATAAGATTTTTTTAAGGTCGACGATTTTTAAATTCTGGTTACATAGAAAGATTTTATTTTTTTATAAACCTCCCTTCCTGTTTATTAGGCACGCAAGAGTACACAGTTAACAATTTAACTTAAAGAACTGCAACAATAACATTTAAGTATTTAACAGCCTGGGTATACAAAAAAACATATATTTTAAAGAGTTCAAGAGTGCATTTTATTTTATTTCTTCCAATTTTTGAAATTTGAGTTAAATCTCCTCTATGATGAAAGAATGATTAGAAGTACGCAGCCAATCTTGTGCACAGATTAAAGCTTCCATCATTCTTGGAGTCAAAGAAGTACAGAAGGAGTCCAGGACACAATTTCTTGTATTACAGGCAGACTCTGAATAATCTGATCAGATATAGTTTCATTTTTAGTTATAAATGAATTTTTTTTTTATAATGAATTTCTTTATAATGAATTCATTATAAAGAATTCATTATAAAGAATTCATTATAAGAATTTATATGAATTCATTATAAAGAATTTATAATGAATTTTTTATAATGAATTTTTTATAATGAATTTTTTATAATGAAATTTTTTTTATAATGAAATTTTTTTTATAATGAATTTATTATGAATTTTTTTTTTATAAATGAATTTCATATTTAGTAAATAAATGAATAGAGATTAAGTTTCATTTTTTATTTTATGATCACTTCCGTTACCGCAGAAAATTACAGCATTGCTCATTCGTTTACAAAATTAAGATAAAAAATGAAAAAGAGCGGCCTGAGTGGTTGGGACAAAATGCAAAAAAAGAAGAAGAATGAGATTCAATTAAATGAATTATTGAACAAAAATAAAAAAATGACTGAGCTTTGTAAAACTGCAAGTAGTGTCTCGGTATCAGCTACAGCGAGAGCAAGTTCAAATTCACTAACTATGTCAATAATGTCAGCACCAGTTCCAGGTTATTTTTATTTTTTTAATTTTTTCATTTAAATACCAATATTATTGGTATTTTCTTTCTTTATTGGAGGTGAACACATTATCAATTTGATACACGTACTCCACTGTCTCAATAGTAAATATACCTACAGCTCAGCAGTTGCTTTCTTAAGTCATATTTCAAGACCTTTTGTCAGTTTACATATATATGGGTGTCTGGGCCAAAGGGGTGTAGCTGTACCTAACCAGTTGGTAAAAAATTATTTAAAAAATGCTCTAAAACATACCTAGATTGTGTTCTTTTATTAGCAAGACTTAAAAAAAAATTTCTGGGGGGCAGCTTCCCCCCTGACCCTCCTACTTGGGGGGTCTGGGGCCCCCAAACCCCCGGCTGGGGGCCTCCGGCCCACTGACCTCCGGGTTTAGCCTCGCTAACGCTCGGCATTTTTACCTTACCGCCATATTAGGCCCTCCTATACTTACAGCCCCAGGCCTAAAAATTTCCTAATCCGGCCCTGATTGCAGTAGTTAAAACACTTAACGTCTTTAAAAAAAATAAAGATAATTTCATGATTAAAAGCGTCAAATATCATCAAATTTCCTGATTGAAAGCGTCAAATATCGTGTTAAGCTAATACATAAGCTTAATGCGATATTTGAGGATTTTTTTTATTTGAAATAAGGCCTGTGAATACATGCGTAGAATTCAAATAGCGTAACGCTCCTTGACAAGTTTGTTTTTAGATGTTTGACAGTTTTTTTTTTATCTCCACCAACCTTGTTCATTTTTTTAAATAAAGTAGAGTCTTTTAAAATCAAATTTTGCAAATGCTTTTTTAAACTTCAAAACAGACTCAAGCATCAAGTATGTTAAATTCCATCTAGTTTCAACATCAAGATAAACAAGACTTTTATTATCAAGTTTTTCTTCATCAACACTAGCATTGAATTTTTGTAACCTAGCAAAAGAAGATCTTACATACTTTACAAAAGTACGAGCTTTTTTAATTGAAATATCAAGGTCAGCTAGGGCATCTTTCACAGCTAAGTTTAAAACGTGCACAGCACACCTCATATGCAAAAAATCTCCATCTAAAACACTACAATAAAACTATGTGATTAAAGCGTCGTTTTAGATAACCAAAAGCAACTTGCATTATCTATTGTCACAGTCAAAATATTTTAAATTTCTTATTCATGTTTAAGAAATTTAAAATATTTGATTGATTGCTGGTCATTCTTACCCATAAGTTTTCCAGAATGACCAGCAATCAATCTTTTATGCAGACTCCAATAATAATCTATAAAATGAGCAGTGAGGTTAAGACCAGAAGTCCAAATATCGGTTGTTAAGCAGATTCTAGAAGACAACGTTTTAAAATAATTCATTACCTTCTTCTCCTCTATAAAAATAGTGTAACAATCTCTAGCAACAGTGAAACGTGAAGGAATTAAAAAATCTGGATCCATGGACTTACAAAATAAACAAAAACCGTCTCTCTCCACAATCATAGTAGGTAGTTCATCCATAGTTAGCATCTTTGCAAGTGCATATTTAGAAGCCTCTTGATTGAATGAAAACCATTCTTTCACCTAACCCATTAGATTGTGGGTTATAAGTGGGCGTTTTATATGATAAACATCCTATTTTCTTCAGCCATTAGAGCAGTATCATGAAATTCTGCAGAATTATCTGGCACCAAAACTTCAGGAACGCCATATCTAGAAAACACGCTTTGGAGTACTGTCTTAATTGTGAGAGCATCCCGATTGTTAACCTTTATAACTTCAGGCCATCCAGAGAAGGCATCCACTAAAATCAAAAATAATCCAACATTTTTTACAGAGGCATGATCCATGTGCACTCTACACCTAGGTTTATTTTCACTAGGCCATGTATGTATTGTTCTTTCATTTTTACTTTAATCTCAGCACATTGTTTACAATTTTTTACATATTCCTCCACATCTTGACAATAACCAGGCCACCACGCTTCTAATTTTAATCTACAACGAGTCTGCATAATGCCACAATGTATGTCATCATGGATTGATTGAATAAATCTCTTTTTCAATGTCTTTAGAGGTACAATAAGGTCACCATTACAAACAATTCCTTTTTCAATAGTCAGTTTATCCTTGTTCAATTTGTAAGGTCTTTCTGCCACAGTACATCTGCTCCAATCATTTTTACTAATTCTGCTTTTAATATCCATCAATAGTCTATCATTTTCTGTTTCGTTTATAATTTGATCAAGGTTCACAATTTATGATTCAACTAAGTGTATAAAAGTCTCTTGATTATTCTCTTCATCTTGAAATAGAAAAGACAATCGTGATAATGCATCTGGATGAGGAATACTTTTTCCCTTTTTATAGCTAATATCATAGTCAAAGGCCATCATTTGCAGGGCCCACCTTAAAAATTTGGCAGAAGTCACTTTAGGAAGTTATTTGTTAGAATCAAATATAAACTCCAATGGTCTGTGGTCTGATATAAGTTTAAATCTTTTACCAATCAGAAAAAGCCTGCTTCTGTGAGTAGACCGCACTATAACCAGTGCTTCTCTCTCTCTCTGTTAGAATATCTTATTTCTGCATCAGACAAAGATCGTGAAAGAAAAAGAACAGGGTGACCATCTTGTGATAATGTACCAGATATTGCTTTTTCAGCATCATTTATTAATTCTAGACTTTTATTGATGTCGTAAATTTTTACCACTGGGTCTTTTTTAGCAATTCAAATGCACTTTGATGTTCTTTTTTCCACTCAAAGACAACTCCTCTCCTCCTCAAATTATCTAACGGTAAAATCTTTTCAGCATATCTTTCAATATGTCAACCATAAAAGTTTACTAATCCTATATATAATT